ATTTCCTCTTTTTTACGAACAGGCTGTTTTATTTTTTAGAGGAGAAGATGGGGAGTAGAGAGGGAAAGATAGAGTTCTGGAATGGCAAATTTTTCGTTAGCATGTTGAGCATATTGTCCTCTGTCCTCCAGGGCATCTACTGACAGGGGAGTGTTAGTCGTGGAGGGAGACGTGTGCACCATGAGTTATTTCTGTCTCGCTGCTTCCCTCTCTGCCCTGGTTTCCTGGCAGCTTGACTGTGGGTCCAGTGATGGATCGTTTGAGTTTATCCTACATAGAACTCATCGAGCTTTCGCAAATGCAAAGATTAACATTTTTTCCCCCATCAAATTGAGTAGGTTTTTGGCCAGTGTTTCCCCAAATGTTCTCCCACTTCTTTCTGCCTTCTCCCGGCATTCCCATTGGGTGTCTGTGGGCACACCTGTGGTGTCCTAAACTCTCTTGACTTTTCATTGTCCTTTGTTTCAGGGACGCTAATTTTAATTGACTTAACGTCAGTGCATCTCATGGAATCTTTCTTCTATCTGCTCAAATCTCCTGAGCTCTGTAACAAATGTTTCATTTTAGTCATTGAATTCTTTTTTTTAAAACAGAATTTCTTCTTCTTTATAACGGTTCTGAGCACTGTCACTGTTTGGTGAGATCTTTCTCATGCTTTCTTTTGACCCAGTTTTCTTTATTTCCTTTGTTACTTCTTTGCTATCTACAATAGTAAGTCAATATCTTTGTCTAATAAGTTCAAAATCTAGACTTTCCTCGTTCCTAAAGAAGGTTTCTTTTTAAAAAATGTTTATTTATTTCTGCATATAGAACTGGGGTACAGGCCAGAGGTGTAGGGGCGGGGAGAGGATTCCCCATAGACAGAGTGGGGAGCAGAACAGGCCGACTGACGAAGTACATTGCTGAGGGGAGCAGCAGGCGGGTCACCTCCGGGGCGGGAATCGAACTCATCATAAGTGGCCTTAGCTCAGTGCTGTGCTTTAACCTGCCACGCTCCCAGGGCGGGCCCTCTCAAGGAGGTTTCTATTGATTGTTTTTCCCCTTGCAGGAGCCATCTGCTCCCCTTTTGGCATACTTTGTAATTTGTTTTGTTGTAATTTGCACATTTTTAGAGAACGAAATGCTGCTAACTTTGGATATCAGATTCTTTCATCATCCCTCCAACCAGGAAGACTTTTGCTATTTCCTGCAGTTGCGCTTTGTTTAATGGCCTTCCGGAACCAATTGAGTAGTCTGTATTCTTTACTTTGTCTCGCTACAGAAATCTCTACTTAGTTGGCTTAGTGCTCAGCTAATGATTAGACTAGAGTTCCTCAAGTGCCGGAACCAGTGAGCCTCGGACCCTTCGCTCAGGGACCTTAAGCTGAAGCATGCCTGGAATATTTCAGCAGCCCCCAACTCTGACTTTGCTTTCACAGGCTGCTGGTATAGACTCTCAGGAAGGTCAGCTGGAGATGCGAGCAGAGGGCATGCTCAGGTCTCCCCTGGGTTGGCCGTGCGCACGGCCCCACCTTGCACCCCACAGCTGGGTTCCCAGGAACATGCTGAGCTTTCTCAGAGTCCCCAGATTCCTGTCAGGGTTTTTGATCAGCCTGCTATTTGCTCCAAGTGGCATTTCCACCACAGGCAACAGTGACTTTCTTTTTAAAATGCCCTGTGCCAGGACTTTCCTCACTGAGCAAGCTCTGAGTCAGTTCAAATAAAGATAAGCTCTGTTAGTAGAATTTTCCAGGGAGCTGCCAGACAGATCAAATAGTGACAATTTTCTGCAGATGAGGTTTTTTGGGGAGCACTAAGCATAGTTTGTTCCCGCCAGCAGCGGCCAGGCTGTTGTTTTTCTCCGTCACTGTAGTCCTGAATCTGGTTGTCAAGGCTATTTTGGAGCTGGGAAGAAGGAATGGGGAACAGGGCAAGTAAAAATGCCATAAAGCTGGCGCGGCAGACCTCTCCTGACCCGCCCGCTGCTCCCCTCAGCAGTGGACTTTGTCGATCTGCCCGCTCTGCTCCTCACTCTGTCTCTGGTGAAGCCTCTCACCACCCCTGCACCTCTGGCCTGTACCCCAGTTCTGTATGCATAAATAAATACATCTTTTAAAAAAAAAAAGCCATAAAGCTTAAAGCTTACTGTCCTTACTGAGAGCTGGTCACTTGAATAAATGCTCTTCTTTGTTCCAAGCCTTTTGGTTAATTTCCAGAGTTCTGAACATGTTGCTAGTTGACAATTTCTGCCTGTATTGCCATTGTTTTTATAGAGAGGCCGATTTTCTGAGGTCCTTACTCCATCTTTCTACAAGGAAAGTCTGTAAAAAACGTATTGAAATATAGAATAGGGCTAATATGATATAAAATTATTCCGTATTTTACAATTGAGAGGGAATAGAATGATCCCCTCGGCAACAGTCACACCTGTGGTTTTGAGTCAGTATAGAAGTCTCTAATGAGACTACTCAACTGTGTATGTGACCAGGCACTAGCCACTGTCTGGCCCTATGAGTCAAAGCCAGACAAGAAAAAAAAATCGTTATTCTAAAGCAGCTCACAGAACAAGAGCCAAGGCCCGACAGGGATTAAAAGGCTAAAGGGTCCCTGTGAGGATCCTGAGTTGGCTGGAAGAATGGAGAGTGTAGCAGTCAAGCTGCATTCCAAAACGGACATTGTAAGAGTTTAAGAGATACGGGTTGGAGCTCACTGGCATCGCTACACAGCTGAAGGATGATTTTAGGAGACAAGAGATGCTATTCAAGTGTAAGCCTCGAGTCTCCAAGGAGCACAATCTATTTTTGAATTCTCTCTCCCAAATCTCTTTTTGGTCATTAAATCTTGTAAAGTTGGAGTCAAGTTATCTTTACCTTGGGTTTTGCTGACACCTAGTGGTAAGCATTGGGTGCCAACATACTCTAAAAGTTGCAGAACAATAAACAGAACGATCACAGACGTTTAATATTTAGGAAAATTGTACGTGCATATAGACAAAACTGCTTAAATATTAAATTGAGATATTTTTATCCTAACATTCCAAACTTTAAAATGTCTTGATTGCTTTATTTATAAGCGAACCTACACTGCTATGCTGGTGTCTGTTAACTCCTACATTTTCAGCTTTGCTATTTTCATGGTTCATGAAAAACAAACAAAAAATTATCTAAACTATCAATTTATTAAATTTTAATTTGTACACTGAAGTTCCCAAACGGCAAAGATAAATACACCCTAATTCAAAGGGAAACTTACAGACATTGCCACACTATTTCTCCTAATAGCAACACTCTATTGATGACATTCTTGTTAGGGTCTCTGTGGCCAAATGTGGAGAAGGTTGATTGGATGTAAGAACTTTGGGCAAGAAACATCTGGTGCTAATTGCCTCTGGGAAAATTAAGCCCATGTGGGCTTCCTGAGAATGTCTTTAGAGATGATAAATAAGTTGAGGCAAGTGGTTGGATCTGTATTGAACTATAGAAAGTGCATAAAAAATGTGCAAATGAAAGAGAAAATCCAGATAGATTGTTTTCATTAGTAAGTAAACCACATAAAAATAAAGCTTGTAAACAAAAAATTTAGCTGATGTGGTTGATAAGTTTTCATAACATGACAAGAAAATGAGTTTTGTAGGTCAGAAGAATGGGTGCCCTTAACATTTAGAGGTGATGAAACAAAACGGGTTGATAAGCGAAATACCATTTCTCCCATGTCCACTGACGTGTAAAGGAATTAAGTACAACACAGTCAGAAGATGTAATATCTTACCAGAGCTTAAAAAGAGAAACGAGGCCCTCCCTGGTGGCGCAGGGGTTGGAGCACAGCACTGAGAGGCTGACGCAGCTTCCTCATGGGTCCGACCCCGGCCTGCCCCGGAGGTGACCCACAGGGCACGGCAGACCTCTCCTGACCCGCCCGCTGCTCCCCTCAGCAGTGTGCTTCATCAGTCGGCCTGCTGTGCTCCCCACTCTGTCTCTGGTGTATCCTCTCACTGCCTCTGCACCTCTAGCCTGTACCCCAGCTCTGTATGCACAAATAAATAAATCTTAAAAAAAAAAAAAAAGCGAGAAATGAGGCCCTCCCTGGTGGCGCAGCGGGTTAAAGCACAGCACTAAGAAGCTTAAGCCGCTTCCGCATGAGTTCGATCCCCGCCTGCCCCAGAGGTGACCACATGGCGCGGCAGACCTCTCCTGACCCGCCCGCTGCTCCCCTCAGCAGTGGACTTCGTAGATCTGCCTGTACTGCTCCCCACTCTGTCTATGGTGAGGCCTCTCTCTGCCCCTGAGCCTCTGGCCTATACCCCAATTCTGTATGCACAAATAAATAAATCTTTTAAAAAAAAGAGAGAAATGATTTGTATGTACTAATGTTAAAAGGTGCGAGATACACTGATAAATGCAAACAATACATTTACTTCTATTGAGAAAAGTCAACCCACTATTTCCAAACATTCAAATAGAAATGTCTTGGAAAAGTCTAGAAAAAGTCTGCCTAAGTGATAACAAGGGCTATCTGGTAGAAGGGGGTGGGACTACTTAAAGCCAATTAGGGGATTTTGGCTGAACCGGCCGGCCTGAAATTACGTCAGAGCAGGAAAGTAAAAAATTAGACCAGATTATTATCCCTAACGCATGGACTCCCTTAAGCCTTACCTGAATACTGAAGATGGAAGGGGTAACTATTTGCTTAATTTTATACAAGTGAAAGGATAGTCTTTGTCAGCCCTTGTAGAGCGGGCAGTGGCTGTCAGCGAGAGGACACTTAGGCATCCTTAGAGCGGGCTGAACAGTTTTCCTTAGAGGAGAAATGCTAACGTCAGACAGCACGGTGACTAATGTAAAATGCTAAGCAACATATTTACCCAAAGCAGAACAGATCCTCTAAGGAAAGATCTGTCAGTTACAGGCAGTGGCAGCGGTAACATGATTCTAACATGACTCCAACATGGCTTCTAGAAATTCCACTACGAAATCAACGAATGAAGTGGATGGCTTTTTTAAATACCTTTTATTTCAACACAGTCGACTCACCGGGTCCATAGACAGAAGGCCTGTTGACGATTGCAACGTCATTTCTGCCTCCTGAGAGCCTCCTGGTTACCTGATGCTGGCCACTCCTGGCCTTCTGTGGGTCCGGAGCTGCTCCGCAGGCAGAAATCCCTGCCTAGGGATTCCCTCGCTGTCTCGGGCCTTCCTCCTCCTCTGCGAACCTCCCCTCCTGGGACACCATGTTCTCCAGAAGCCCTTCCTCCAAAGGCGCCCTTAGCAGGGAGTCTGTGCCCTCGGGCAGCCTCTGGACCTGAGTGTCCGGCTGCAGGAGCTGGTAGTCCGCCAGCGGCTCTGGGCTCCCCCCCGGCACGCCGGACCTGTCCTCAGACTTCGGGGGGCCCTGGCCCTCCTTCCACTCGTAGGTGTTCAGCCTCTTCTCCACCACTTCACGGATCAGCACTGAAAAGTCACAAGCACAGGGTCAGCGCGACGTTTCTACTTGAGTAGTTACTGCACTGCCTTAGAGGGGCATGGGATACTCACGGGGTGCCCCCTCCCCTCCATCATAACCTTTTCTGGAGGTCAGCACACTTAACTCAGGCCCCCCAGCCCTTAACGTGAATTATCCTCCGTGCCTGTGTCAGCAGGTCTCGTTCATAAATGACAGGAGATACTAATTCTGGCCTAACAGAAGCAAAATAACACTGAAGGTGAACGCTCCACCTTCGTGAATAAAACCAAGCTGAAAAATGAAGAGAACAACGCTGAAAAATGAGTGTCTTCCTTCGTATTCTTTCTACTGGAAAATTTCAGAGTTGACTTCTACATGCAATTAAAAACTTACTATCCAGCACGGTCCTGCCCACCATACTGTACTCCATGGCCTTGTCCACTTCGTTCATCAGCCATGGGAGGAAGCCAATCTCGATATCTGTGGGGAAAGGGCTCATCTTAGGAAGCACTTTTTTTTTTTTAATTTTACAGAAGTTTATTTTTACATCATTTTGTACATTTTTTTCCCGTCTCAATTGTAATCCCCGCGGGTTTCCCATCACCGAGTCACCCGTGTGCCATCACCATAATCCCGTGCACTTCCCTCCCCACCCCCCCGTTTTTGATCCCATTTCCCACTCCACCCCCACAAAATGTCTCTGGTATATGGTTGTTCATTATTTTTGTTATTTTCCACCTGGTCCATTATACTCCTGCTATGAGTGAAACCATCCGGCATTTTTCTTTCTCTTTCTGGCTTATCTCACTAAGCATGATCCCCTCCAGCTCCATCCATGTTACTGCAAAAGACATGTGTTTCTTTTTTTTTGGTTGCTGAGTAATATTCCATTGTATATATGTACCGCATCTTTTTTATCCAGTCATCTACTTTTGGGCATTTGGGCTGCTTTAGGAAGCACTTTTGATGCATCTTATACGTGGAAGAGTCACGAACACTGCCGCTCAGTTCAAAATACTACATTGTTCCACAGCATGACTGATGGGCCCTGTGTATGTTCTGCTCCCCTTCCTCTCTGCTGCTCTAGAAATGTTTTCAAGGAGGCTTTCCCCGCAGTCCCAGCCTCCAGCACTTACTCAGTCTGAGGTGCGAACTGAGAGGCTAAGGGGGTGGGACGGGGCGCTGAGAGCAGACCCCCGTCCAAATGCAGGCAAAGTTGGGGCTGAACAGTGGCTGTCAAGGGGCTACTCCCGGGAAGTCTGGGGCCTAACAATCTGGCAGGATCCAGAGACGACGGTCAAAGGGCGGCTGAGAAGGGCTTATGGAAGTGGGGGGAGGAGGTGTCTGCATTGGTCATAGATTCATTCCAGCTGAAATGGAAGTCTGCTGGGTAAGCATTTATAAAAAATATGGCCCCCCTGGTGGTGCAGTGGGTCAGGACGCAGCACTGCAAGCTGGCCGCAGCCACTTCCGCATGAGTTCGATCCCCGGGCCCAGGGGTGACCCACAGGGCGCGGCAGACCTCTCCTGACCTGCCCGCTGCTCCCCTCAGCAGTGCACTTTGTCAATCCGCCTGTTCTGCTCCCCACTCTGTCTCTGGTGAATCCTCTCACTCACCCTGCACCTCTGGCCTGTACCCCAGTTCTGTAGGAATAAATCAATGAATCTTAAAAAAAAAGATTTTTTTTTTTATAAAAAATATGGCCCATTATGAGTTAGATTTAAATGTTTCAAATGGCTGCTGGGGTGGGGGTGGGGGACAGTGTCCAGCATCTACTGGCAATTTTTTAATGGGGTAACAATAGAATGTAGCAGAAAATTACATCACATAATAATTTTGTTCTGAGACATAAATCATATTTGCAAGTTTCTAAGTTATTTCTAAATTACTTCTCCCAGCCATTTATGAGCAAAAGAAAGGCTGCTGGCTTGGCGACTAGCAGGGAGGCAGGCTCAATCCAGGGTGGCTGGAAGGGACAGCGGTCTGGCGTCCCACCCTGCCCAGTCCAGGGGCCTCCCCACCTCCCCGAGCGCTTCACTCTGGAGGCGTCAGTCTCCACTGGAAATAAAACTTCCCTATCTGCCTCACAGGCTATCGGGAGGGCCGCATAGCATCACGTAGGGCGACTTATACGTTGGAAATGCAGCAGAAATGCCCACGAGTGGTCTGAGACCTGGCCTCTGTGTCCTACTCAAATCAAATGTGAATCAACATCACCACATCTGCCGGAAACAATGCTACCGCCTTCAGAAACAGGCCTGAGTGGCCAGGACACTTAGGGGGGTGGAGCAGAAGGAGAGCGCCAGTGAGAAGGAGGGTGCTCAGTCCCCCTAGGCCAGACCAGCCCTGTCCGGTTCAGCAGAGTAGCGGCCACTCTGGGGCCAGGGGCCAGGCGCCTCCTGTTTTGATTCCAGCGCCTACACCGGGCCTGAGGAGAGCAAACCCCTATTCTGACGCACACATGACCCTCACAGCCGCCCCCCAGAGGGTTTTGACTGGGAGAGGGAACCCCTGATGTGCCGCCTGCGTCCTGGTCTCCAGGTGAGGAACGACAGTCCCGGGGCCAATGCCGAGGCGGGGCGCCCCGCTGCCCACCCAGGTCCGCAGTCTCCCCCCTACCTCTGTGGCGCCTCCGCAGAGGTGAACGCCCCACCAGAACGCCTGCGACCCAGCTCTCCCGCAGCCCCGGGGCCTGGCCCTCAGGGATGGACTCCGGAGTCGGGGCTCCAATTCAAGAGGCAGCAGGCCGCGCCAAACCCGACCCCCGAGGGACGCTTACCCGCCGGGTTCTAGGACGCTGCCACCCACCTCTCTCCACGGGGTCGTAGAAGTAGCCCCCCTCGCGGAGGCTCTGGAACACCGAGGGGAACAGGTCGGCCAGGTAGCGCTGCGCGAAGGCGTGGGCCGCGATCTTCTGCGCCGTCTCGCTGTTTTTGGTCACCATCTCCCACTGCTGCTTCTTGCGCCGCTCCTGCGGGAGAGACGGCTCAGCTCCAGAGGCGGCAGCGGCGTCTGCTGGGGGCGAGCTGCGTGCTAAGGGCTCCCGTTTGCCACCAAGATATGGATGAATGTCAACAGCTAGTGGCATCGGATTCAGCAAAGATGGCGCTCGGGGTCCAACTCACGTCCTAGTCCGTTTCATGGAAAATATACCCGGGTCTCCTCTGATGGCCCTGTGCTTTGCTCGGATCCCCAGATCGTGTGGTTTTTGCAAAGTGAAGGTTTGTGGGGCTCGCTGAAGGCTGGGAGGCAGGTGGGCCGGGAGGCGGGTTAGCATGTCTCAGCACAAAGCAATTTTTAATTAAGGTACGTGCCTGGGGTTCGCCACAGCCAGAGCTGCCGTGCACCCCACAGCATGGCCACTTGTCAGAGTAGGTTACGCCACTGGGGCGCAAGCCCTCAGGGGTGCTTCCTTGGGGTGGGGGGTCTGACAGAAGCCTGCAATGTGTGAGATTCTCGGCCTGAAGTTTCCTCATCTGCCTGTTTGACTATGGCTGCCATCACAGGGTAAGGCGTCTGCCTGCGCTCTACTGAGGCGTCTGCCTGCGCTCTACTGAGGCGTCTGCCTGCG